AACAGAAACGTGCTTAGTCACCCCGACATTCCGCGCAGGTTCGAGCTACCTGGCCCAGATTGCATCTTCGAGCCCACGAAGCTGGAAATCAGCTCTCCTCGCTGTATCCCACTCACACTCGGCATTGGTGGCCACTTCTTGAGGATGTCGCATACTCAGCTGCAGTTCAAACGAAGATGAACGAAATGCTTGATGTTCTTCTCGAAAACAAGGAGTGGCTGTACGTGAGCGTGGATGCAACGCTTAAGACATGCCTCAAGCTCAAGGGTCAGGAGTCATATAGGGCACCAAAGGCGGCTCGAAATGCTGCCCCATTTCCTGATGCCACAGCGTGGAGGCGGCTCTTGACGGCCCGGGGTCGCACAGGGGCCGTTCTGCTGATGGTGCCCCTTGCAACTGAGAAGGCAGAGCACGTCGTGGAGCAATTCCAACTCAGCTTCTCAGCAGCTGCTTTGGCCCAAGTCGAGTACCTGGCTACAGATCAGCCGTCTCCGAAGCTGTTTTCGATGTTACAGAGTATCTGCACGAGCCTCAAGTGCGTGGCCCTTGATCCGATCCATCTTGCAATCGTGTATGAGTACGCACATTGGAACAAGCGAACGGCCGGTTCGAGAATGCTGCGATCATTGGTGCGCAAGGTGCTGGCCATTGATACAAGCAAGGCCGCCGAGGATTGGGGTGTGATCTTTACTGGCAGCAACCCCACGCCGTTGAGCCAAGAGGAGCAATGTGCGCGAGATCACATATGGCATCAGTCTATGCCCAAGGCCGAGGCTGAGGCGTACATGTTGAGTCTGTGCACCGATGTGCCCTTTTACAACCGCTGTGAATTCATAAGGGGCCTCGCGGCTTTGTGTAGCTTGAAACCGGAGGAAGTTGGCAGAAAGGTAACCGGTGCCAACAAGGAAGTGTTTAAGATCCTCTGGTCAGCTGCTGCGCCGGACCGCCTCGAATGGTTGTGGAACAACCTGCGGCTCCGACACGGCATGACTGTACTGGAAAGGGCATTCCTTCCCAGTGGGACCTCCTCGAACGAGGCCCTTCACGCTGAGATTAATGCATGGTTGCGCACAGCCAACTCCCTGCACAGATCCACGCTTCTTTTGAAGCTGCGTCTGATGCGTTACCGCAAGTTGGTAGCACATCACGTTGCAATGTGCTTTCCGTTCGTTAGAGTCACTGCCGAAGGTGTCATTTTGTCGCGTGCACTAGCCAAGCCCTCATGGTCAGAGGGCAGCTGGCTGGGCTGGTGTGACGAGCAGAAAGACGACGGAAAAGGCCCGCAGAACAAGGCCAAACTTCCGCTTGTTCGTGCTCGTGAAGATGAGGCATCTGCGGTGCAGGCTTGGGTTCGAAAGAAGCCAGCCTCTAAACGAAGGTGCATCAAGCGCACGCCCTTCAACGCCAGACGGCAGCACCAAATTCGGGTCGGGGGCATCAAAAAAAAGTGCCGCCGGCGGGCAAGTGCCTGATGTGACGGATCCCGCGACTGGTCCACTTGCGGAAAATCAGGTCGCCTTGCTGACAGTTGATGCTGCCATTGCGTCTGTGTCCAGAGATGTCCTATAGACAACCAGTCCTTTCGCGCGCAGGGTCTCAGCATGGTTGTGTTCAGACCTAGCATCGATCAATCAGGCTGAGCTCTGCGGTATAGCTGGTCTTTGCACAATTCGGATTGCTGAGCAAACCAAACACAGCGACCATCGATTGTTCGTATCCCATGACATTGGGCGGGTTACGACTATGTGTGCTAGTCCGTCTACCTTCCCACTGAAACCATCGTAGGTGTTGCGGCCAGAGACGACGTGTTTCGCTATCGCTATCGTTCGCTCGCTTGAGCTGACATGTGCAGTCATGGCCGTGTGGGAGTGTGATAGCATGACTTGGAGTGGCGAGGAATGTTGTGCATCCGTGACCATTTTGGATAAAGTCCTTCAATTCTCAGTGGGTACGAAAAATTGAAGCTAGCCAAAAACTAGCTACAATCTACTGAGATTTGTGCCACATCCATGTGAAAGGAGAGTTGTCCGTGCTAGCTGCGTTTCGAGCTCGTGGTTGTCGCTCGGCTATTACGACTACTCTAGTGCTCTTCCCTTCCGGTGGAATGCTGGGGATGTTGGTCGGCGATAGAAGTTAGTGCCCTGAACGCTATTAGCTGACTTCTTTACGGTTCAGCACTTGACACTGATTGCAGCGCATGACTTCAAAGCATTTAGTGAGTTTGAGCCTCAAGCTTTTGCGCAAATGAAAGATGTTAGCTTCGGACGGCTGTGCCTTTTATCGCGGCACCTGCATTGAGATTCGAGTGCCCTGTTGTTGGGATTGCATCGTCCACGACGTCTACAAGGCAGTGATGGCTTGTGTACTTATATAAGTAGACAGGAAATGGCCAAATAGACCCTAAAGGTCTCGGCCACATATATATATACATATTAATATATATATATATATATATATATATATATATATATATATTAATATATATATTAATATATATATATTAATATATATTCATATATATTCATATATATTCATATATATTCATATATATTCATATACATATATATATATATATATGTATTGATATATATATATATATATATATATATATATTCATATATATATATATTAATATATTAATATATATTAATATTGACCAATGTATAATTGCACCTAAACCCAACACCCTTGCTGTTACTTGAACTGGGATAAAATCCCTAAACCCAAACTCCAAATACCTTATACTTAACCCCAAACCAAAACCCTGAACCCTAAACCTAAACCTAAACTTTGAACCCCCAAAGCCCTGCCCTAAACCTTAAGCTCTCTCGGACACTACATAAAGGGCCCTAACTTGGAGCACTACCCAACTTACATGACCCCGGCAACCCTTCAAAACACTACCCTAAACGTAGCCCCGAGAGCCTTGAAATACACAGTGTGATATATCTACATTTAGAGCACGGGCTGTTGTCGCAGGACCCGGGCCATGAGAACACCAACGACATCGTTTATCCTGAAGAGAACCACCAGGAGGAGACTTTTTCTCCACAGGGACCTAAACCTAACACCCAACACCCTGGCTGTTACCTGAACTGGCATGTAATACCTAAACCCAAACTCCAAATACCTTACTTACTTAATCCTGCCCGTAATTACACAGTGTGATATATCTACATTTAGAGCACGGGCTGTTGTCGCAGGACCCGGGCCATGAGAACACCAACGACATCGAGCATCCTGAAGAGAACCAGACTTTGGGCTCCACAGTTGCCGAGGCCGAGACCCAACACCCTTGCTGGTACCTGAACTGGGTTTTTCTCCCTAAACTCCTAAACCCAAACTCTAAATACCTTACTTAATCCTGACTGTAATTACACAGTGTGATATATCTACATTTAGAGCACGGGCTGTTGTCACAGGACCCGGGCCATCAGAACACCAACGACAGCGAGCATCCTGAAGAGAACCACCAGGAGGAGACTTTGGGCTCCAGAGTTGCCGAGGCCGAGACCCTAAACTCCAAAGCCCTTAAAAACCCCAGGGCCCTAGGTTTGACTTCTGCACTACTTTGTGTGATAAGGTTGTGGTACATGTAGTATAGAGTTTTTGGGTTGAGTGGTTTTGTTTCAGGATGGCGAGGCTTCCGGTGCTGGTGGAGAGGATTCCCAGGCCTCCAACGGAGATGGCTCGGATGACAGCAGCTACGAGCAGGTCCCAGGGCATACAAAAAAAGGTTTATGGGGCTTCTGGGATCCAATGGGTTCCTGCGGCTTGGGGTTTTAGGGCTTAGCTTCTAAAGGGTTTCAGGCTTTAAAGAAAAGGCCTCGCCCCTCTTTTCCGGCCCGGTTTAGAGTTTAAGAGTTTAGGTTGTATAGGATTATATAGTTTTTCATGTATATATCTATATATGTATATATACACGTTTACCATGTATGTATGTATGTATGCATGTATGTATGTAGGTTGGTAGGTAGGTATGTGTAGTGTGTATGGTTGTAGTATGTTGTGTGTACATATAGGTGGTGGTATCTTCTGCACAAATCACAAATACCCCCTGCCCGCATACAGGTGGTGGACGGCGGGAACAAGGAGTACTGGGAGGCGGAGTTGAAAAAGGCCAAGGATACTTTGGAGTTTTGGCGATGCAAGCGATTTTATGCCAAGACCTGCCTCAACAAGTTCAAGTCGCGATCACGATCCAGGGGCCGGTGAGATCTACACGTGTGATAGAAGCCGTGGGTTTGGGGGAAAAAATGCATGTTCTGCCCTCTGCATGTTTGGTGTGAGCGAGTCACAGAGTGCCATCCCCCAAATCCATGAATAGCCCGATGGCCCAGGCCCACCCATGAACTTCGACAGCCAGTGCGATCCCTGCTGGACACCCAGTTCCGTTTGGTCGTGCCGGCACACACAGTCTGCAAAATATGTTACATGTGCAGTTCCAGTTGTGTGTGAGCGATTTACAGCACGGACCCGTGAATAGCCTTGCGAACTCCTCCGATGGCCCAGGTCTACACAAACTTCGGCTGGCATTGCGATCCTTGCGGGATACCCAGCCTCCGAAACATGTGCCGTAGGAGTGGAGTGGGCTTGTGTGTGCATAAGTGCAGAGATTCCAGAAGCATTGCATGCGACACTTTGTGTGGGATACGGAACCGCACAGCTTTTGGGCTTTGGAGTTTGTGGGCTCTTCCGTGCTGCCATGGATACCGGTGAGGACTCCCAAGTTTTTATCGATCACGAGTTCGAGCAGTGGCTGGAGGAGCCCGAGAAAGCCGATCCTAAGGAGGCCAGGGAGGTCGTTGTTGTCACCGCCCCAGTAGATGTTCTTCACGGCAGCAACACCAAGGAGGTGTTTAGCGACAGCCAGGAGGTGATTCGCGAGCCAAAGAACAAGAAGCCCAGGACCAGCGAGAAGAAGACAGATGAGGACTAGTAGGGCAGGGTGACCAACGATTGTGACGGTTTTTATATGTGCGGTTGGTGGGAGGACCGCGCTAGTGCCGGCAAACTCCGACAGCGCAAAGCATGGTTTCGTGGCATTCGTGAAGGAGCGCTCCAGGCTGACCCGACACTGGGAATAAAAATCCTTTCGATCGGTGCTGCTCCCGAGCAGCTGGTGGGTGAAGCGAGGGACATGCAACTTGGTCAGCAGGAAGCCTTGGGGCAAGAGGTGTGACACGCCGTCAAGGCGAGCCTCCAGGCCGTTTTGTCCGCGGCGATCACCAATTTGCCGAAACTTTCCCGGGCTCTGGAAAGAGCCGAAGACTCGGGAGCACCTGATGTCCGGGATGATGCCCGGTCGCAGTGTCAAAAGCCCCTTTGCATCCCATACCTTCATAAGCTTAAAGACCTCCTCCGGGTTTTCATGCTTGAAGGAGGGGGCCGGCCCACACGACCCGGGAAAAGTTTCGAGCACCAGCGGGTCCCGGAAAGCAAGGAGCATGCCAGGAGACAGGAAGGGACTGATGTCCCAGTCGGCTTCACCGTGCAGCACGATCGTGTCGGCCTCTAAGGGCCGGTAGGGGCGCAAACAGTCAGGCCCGCCGGGGGCATGAGGAACAAGAGGCTTGTCCGCAAAGGCCGCCGGAGCAGGCACATCATAGCTGTCAAGCCCCACCCCGCACGCAAGAAGGAAGTCGGAGAGCTCACCTAGGCGTGCGGCTAGGTGGCTCCCCCTTCTGCCGGCGCAGTATGGGATCGAGATCCCACGGCGGCAACACGCCCGCAAATAGCCGCTGACCCGCCTGAACACCGAAATGTGATGCAGGTTCGGCGGCCTCCGCAATGCGCTCAGTGGCACAGGCCTAAAACCCGAGTGCACAAAATTAAGGGCCATGATGATCACATGAAGGGCCCGGGACATGTGCCTTCCGGCTTGGCGTGTGCCCCCTCGCTGGCGGGTACTCCTCCCCACAGGCGCAGCACTGGGCGAGGGAATGGGAAAGAGGGCGGTGGGAGCGGAAACAGCGTCGCTCCGTTGGAGGTGCAAAGTCGAAAAGAGAAAGTGTGCAAAACAGGTCCCAGACTTAAGGACCAAACGAGTGAGCGAGGCCGCCCACGAAGAGAAAGTAAATTCGCCGTCGAAGGACGGAAGGCATGCATCAGGCCCATCAGGGCTCACTTCGCCGGAGGCGGTGTCGCGCCCGCGGCTGCGCGTTTCGCGGCCCATTGTGCTGCCCGCTGCTGCTTCTTGGTGAGAGCCACCTCCTCCTGAGGTGTGCCCTGGCCCGTCGGTGGTGCGGGGAGGCCTGGTGGCCGCTTTGGCTTTGGTTTTGCCTCGGCCCGCCGCGAAGCGATCAAGTCCATCTCGCGAAGGCAGCCCAGGGCCGAAGTGACCCACTTCTGATCTGCTAGCGGGGAGAACGGCTGCACTCCGGCTCCCGGGGTCGACACAGGATCCGAGTAGATGGCCTGAGGCGGGTCGTGCTGCAAGGTCAAGAGCCACGCACAAGTTGGTCCAAGTACACGGCCAAAAGGGCCAACACGTCCGCCGCGCCGGTGCTGTTTCCAGCCATCAACAAGTCGAAAGCGATCGACACCTGCCAGGCTATCAGAGCCAGCTCGCGATGCTTGGCGAACCCTCCATACCTTTCGTAGTAGCGGCTGAGCGAGAAAGGCTCGGTGGAGCCCACCCCCGCGGTAGAGCCCTCTCCTTCACCTTTTCGGCAAAAACGCCTGAGTAAGACGCCAGCTCGGCTTGCAGCCGCGGGAAGAGGAAACCCCGGACGCCTGTGAGTCCAAGACCGGGTCCCCGCCCTGGGCGAGGTGGCCCACCAGTGTCAGAAGGGCTTGGCTCTGAGCCATCATGGCCGAAGTCAGGTCTGGCTGCGGCGGCGCGGCGGGCAACTCTCCTGAAGTAATGGCGGCCGCCAGCCGAGCATCTTGATCCACCTCGGGAGGTCGCAGGGAAGCTGTGAGGCCGCGCGCAGGCGGCGGAGGCCCCAAGGTATGGGCCAGGCTCTTGGGCACTGACTGGAAAGGTGGCAGCGCGAGGCCTCCAGCCTCACGCGCAGCTCCTGTTGGCTTTCCTGTGGCGCCGAGCTGCGCAGAGAGCGGTGCCTGGCGAACCTCGGCTCCTGACGGAACTGGCTGCTGTAGCGGGCTCACCTGGGTAGGGGACGCGGGCTGAGAAGCCTTTTGCATTTGCGCTAACTGATCGCTGAGCCGGGCCACAACTTCTGTCAAGGCTGCCTGCTGTTGGGCCAACAGGGAAACAGTGGGTCGCTTCGCCCTCAGCCGGCGGGCCTCGGCTGCTGCAGCAGGGGGTTCGGACGCGGCCGTTTGGTAACCTGAGGATACTCCGGCTCCCTCGGCCAAAATCCAAGCCCGGGCCTGACGGAGCACGTCGGAAGCCAGAGGGTAAAGACCAGTGTCGGTCTCGTTGAAAAAGGTTCCGAGGAATGTGTCGAGCTCGACGGGCGAGAGCTGAGCCGCCAAGGAGGCGGGGAAGTCCACGACAGTCACCGAAAGGGGTTCGGCCGAGGGGGCCACAATCCAATCTCCCTCCTCTGACAGGGCTACAGCAGGGGCCTCCAGCTGAAGCGAAGGACCAGGGCGAGGCAAACCCTCTTCCCCATCGGCAGCAAGCTCGGCCGGGGTAAAGAAGGACCCGGGGACGGTCAGCAAGAAGCCGTCTGCACGCAACATCAGCACGTAGGCCACACATACCCTCTGTGCGTCAGCATCAGCCGCAGGCGGCCAAAGGAGCTCAAGGATGTCCACCTGGCCGCTGGAGGCAGGGGTAAGGGAGGAGAAGTCCATCAGCGCGGGAAGGCCAAGCCAGCCCCCGCAAAATATGCTCTCGCTTCTGCCTCACTCGGAAAAGCGTGAGACACTGAGCCCCTCCTTTCAAGGATGCCAGGCACCTGTCGGTAGGCAGCAAAGCTGTAAAGGACCTGAGGCTCGTTCACAGCCCGGGTGCGCAAAACACAGTAGAGGCGATTGCTCAGGTTGATGCGAGGTGTGCTGTCAACGTAGTCGCACTCACCTCTCAGGACCCTAGCAGCACTAAGGCCAGCAGTCCAGGCACGAAGGATCCGGCCGCGGGGGCTGAAGTTGCACGAGGAAAGGGGACGACCCAAGTCCAGGATGTGCGACGGGGGATCCGGCGGCTGGCTCGAAATGCCAGGGGGCACTAGGCCCTGCAAGGGGTACTCTGGCACCTGTGAGGTGGAAGGTAAAGGAGGAGGCACAGAGGAGCTGGCTGCGGCAGTGTAGGTGGCGCTGGAAGGAGGGGGTTCCTCCCTCACACGGGTGGCGCCGATGACACGGGGGGACTCGGGCGGCAAGGAGGGCAAGTAGCCCGACAGAGGAGACGGGCCGGGAACCTCCGGTAGGAGGACAAAGGAGCCGACAGAAGAAGGGGAGGAAGCCTCCTGAGGAGGCGCCTGCACGCTACCTGTATCGACCACTACTTCGACCCCGTCTACCTTAACCCGAACCCTCGGCATGCAAGTACCCGCGAAGGCGGGCCGCACGTTGCCTCAGAGCACGATCCGCGGGGGGCGCCTCGCAATACCCTGAGCTTGCCAATGAGCCCAGTAGAAATACCCAGCTACCAGCAGCGATAAAAGGATCCCAGCAAAGAGCCCCAGGAGGAAAATCGCAATGGTAAATGCCAGACTGGTGCCTTGGCAATGATAAGGACAAGCGAGCCCCCACCAGTTGCTCTGAATACCCTCGCGCAGCAAACCAAGCGAGGTCGGAATCCAAGCAGGGACCATGAAAGGAAAACCCTGCTTAAAGTCTTGGGCCCGATGCGCATTTCGGTTGGGTCGCTTCTAGTTCCAGCAGTGGTTGCGGCAATCTCGGCTGGTACTGCAATCCCTTGCAAGCACAGACTGACAGTCAGAATCTGGCAGAGCAGTCAATCAGTATCAATGTTAACCGACCCCGAACCCCAGAAGTACCCGCCTCGACGGCTCCACCACGTCTGGGTTCCATGGCCTGATGAGTCGGTCAATGTCAAGCCCTCCAACAGAAAGCACCGAAAAATCAATTCAACTCGCGCCTCAACGGCAATCAATCAGTGCCTGGACTTACTGCTGATTTATGGCTGGCTTGTTGAATTCGGGCTGCCAGAGTGCGTGTCGTCTAAAGCTATAATTGCCTTGAGCTTTGGCCTGGGTTGTTTCTGGACTTCGGTCGTAAATCTCGCGCATGGCTGCGGAACCTGGACCCAGTCTATCTGCCAGCCTGGGTCCCTGAACAAGGCCAGGAGGTAAAGCGCACAAAGCTACCGATTTCCAACACAAGTGACATGCCAAGCGCTTCCGGATGAATGCAAAACTAAATTGTCTACTGCAGCTCGGAGCAAAGAGTAACAAGCTTCACGACACTTAGCAACTTTGGTCCTTGGATTTCGGCCGAGACAGTCAGAGTGAGGCGAAGCTCCGCCGATCATATCAGCCTACTCTCGATTTCTGGCTCAAACTAGCAAGCGAAAAACGAGGACCGAGGCTCCGATCCTCTCGTCGGCCTACTTTCCAGAAGATCAGAAGGACGATTTCGGCATGCGCTTCTGGAAGGCAAAATAATATAATGTTTACTGCAGCTGGGAGTAAAGGGTAACAAGTCTCACTTGTCGCATGCCGCAACTTTTGTCCTTAGCTTGGAGTTCGGCCGAGACAAGGAGCGAGGCTCCGAACCTCTCAGCCTACTCTCGAGAACTCTGGCCCAAACTAGGCGCAAAACAAGGAGCAAGGCTCCGATTCCATCTCTCGTCGGCCTACTTTCCAGAAGAAGGATGATTTCGGCCGAGGCAAAGAGCGAGGCTCTGAACCCCTCGGCCTAGTTTCATCTTTAAAAAAAAGGAGTTCGGCCGAGACAAGAGCGAGGCTCCGAACCTCTCGGCCTACTTTCCCCAGTTTCTTTAGGGCAATAGGCTTTGGTCCACTTGCCGCCTGACCAACCAATCTCCCTCAATGCCTTAGGCCAGGAGCCGCCTTTGTCAGCAAAGGTCACGACACATTTCCTGCAATGATTGCAGGCCACGAAGTACCAACACTGTTTCAGGTGCGGCACATACCTGTGGTAATGCTTTTCGCCTTTCATATGCTGAGTGATCGTGTCATCCGGGGCCCGGAAGCTGAAGACCCCAGACGGCGGCATCGTGTACTCGGTCACATCACCCCATTCTGTTTCAATGATCATGCCCTCCAAGAGGTCGCCGGGCATGCCGCGTGTCGGGCTGTCTTCTGGCGACAAGCCGCGTGTCGGGCTGTTGTCTGGCGACAAAGATTGCTCCCACTCCGCCAATTCTCTCACAAGACGTAACCGAAACTCTTGTGGCCTTTCCTTGATCCACTGTAAGCACTGTTGGTACTCGGCCTCTGAGTTGCACGGGATCAGCGACGACGACGACATTATTGCGCTGCAAGTTGTCTGTAATTAATAGGTCATGATTTCTACATGGCAGCGATAATATGCAGCTATTAGCAGCTATAGAGCTTGGCATTGATAACCGACAGCCTGAAATTCTTCACTGCGGGGCCGTTACCTCCCACCTTAAGCCACCAGTGGCTGCGGCAATCTCGGCTGGTACTGCAATCCCGGTCCCTTGCAAGCACACTGAGACTGACTACCTAAGGCGTCGCGACAACTAGCCCCAGAGAGTCAGAGAGCACCAGCCTGCCTCGCAACTTGCAGTGCAGACGACCTCTGCCTTGGACCTCTCAGCCACGCCCTTAGCACAGAAAGCCAGCAAGTGCAACAAACCAGCAATGGTTGCGGCAATCTCGGCTGGTGCTGCAATCCCGGAGACTGACTACCTATGGCGTCGCGACCAGCCCCAAAGAGCAAGCTCTGCCCAGTCTGCCTCGCAACTTGCAGTGCGGACGATCTGCGATGACAAAAGCCACAGGCCGACAAAGACGCCCGCCAGCGCGACGGGGCGCGCAGATTCGTTCGGGCGACGGCATTTTTTTTGTTACATGTGCAAAGGAGCAGCATGGAGCCGCAAAAGCAAGCCACCTGCGAATCGGCAATTCAGCTCGGCGATCCAACGATCAATGCGAAGGGCGGCAAGTACGTCCCCCTGCGCCGGAACGGCGGTCCGCCGGTGTGGCAGTCGACGGAGTGGCAGAAGATCATCTGGCACCCGGCCGCCTTCAACGACCCGAGTGCCAAGCGCGTGGGTCTGTGCCTGGAGCCCGACGAGGCCTCCAAGGCGCAGCTCCAGAAAATCGAGCAGCACCTCGTCAAGGCCTTGACTTTCTGAGCCGAAGGTCTTTGGCAAGTTTCTGACCGAGACGGACGTGAAGAACCGCTTCCAATCGTGCCTGAAGACGAGCCCGCGGGGCGGCTCGTACCTCAAGCTGAAGATGGACTGGGGGCGCGGCCTACTGCTCGAGGTGACCGATCTGCAGCTCAAAGCCTACGCGCCGGTCCCGTTTGCCCTGGCTGGTGCCGACGTAGAGGTGCCTGAGAGTGAAGTGCGGGCTTCGGTGTCGCACAGGAAGACCCGCCTCTCGAGCGTCAGGCCCTGGCGTAGGTGATGGCGTGGCACAGCCGGGTATGCTTCAGGAGGGCGGCGTGGGTGAAGGATTCGCCGCCATCAACACGATTTTTTCCGATTGGTCTAAGATCAACCAGGGGATCCTGTTTCAACCAAGCTTGACAGGAGTATCGCCGCGCCACCCAGCAGAGACGAGCGTCGATTGAAAAAAAAAACAAGACACCCTAAGCCTTATAATGCTTATTTTTTTTCTTTTAATTTATTTAATATTATTTTTAATTTAAATCTATCTGAATTTTAAATTTTAACGTTGTTCCTGTTCTCCTGCTCGGGTTGGGGGGCTTCGGGAAGACGGGAAGAAAGAAGCGAGAGAGAAGGAGTGTGAGAGGAGAACCACGTTGTTGCACTTGCTGGCTTTCTAAGGGCGTCGGCTGAGAGGTCCAAGGCAGCACGAAAATGCGTCTGTTGGAGTTGTTCAGCGGCACCAAGTCGGTGGGCCGTGCCTTCGAGGCCCTGGTGGGAGGTAACGAGTCTGACACAGACTCGACGACTTGGCCCACCATCTGCGCCGACATTCAGGGGGACTTAGGGACCCACCCGCCCGAGCATGTGGAGCCACCGGGACGCCGCCATTCGTCGATGTTCGTTCTCAGTGACACCGAGTTGGTTTTCCTCCTTGCCGGGCGTATGCGGTACTCGGGCATCGCTTTGCTTGCTCATCCTCGCGCCGGTGAAACCGACGACATACGTCGCTGTGTCGACGCACCACGTCCTTTCTCGGGCTTCGACATGCTCAACGGCAGGCAGGGGCAGAACCCCGCACCTTCCCTTTTTTGCTCTCTGGGTGCATTTTGCTGCCTGGTGGAAAGTGGAACGCTCGGAAACAGGTGAACCTTGCAAACAGAACTTTCTCACACAGAGGAGGCCTTTCCAAGCATCCTAGAGATCCGGGCCCGACGACCCCGACGGCTGGAGGACGGCGACCGGCTGGTCCTGAAGACCTCCTACCTCGGTGGTGGGCCGCGGAGAACCCGCGAACGGGCCTGCTCAAAAGTCGGACAGCCCTTCGCCCAGGCTCCCACTATGAAAGATTCTTTGCCCTGCAGGCAAGGAGCGGGGGCAGCGAGTTGCAGCGCCGTTTGCAGAGCGTTCGGAGGTCGAGGCGTGATATTATCGCAAGTGCAGCCTCAGTCCTTTTGTCTGCGTGCTGGCCGACTTCTCAAGCTGGCCCGAAAGCAAAGATGCGCAGAGACATGTTGCCCGCCACGAGCATGTTCCGGTCTGCTTGAGGCACAACCGCAGGATGCAAGCAGGCAGAAGTTTCACAGATACAAGAGCCCATACGCTGCCAGTGCTTTCCGGAGCTGGTGCGTGCATGAAGGAGTACAGGAGGCGTGTCTTGTTCGCCTACAACACCCTGGAAGGAGGCGGCGATGACGAGACCAAGGAGGCGAGGAGCTTGAAGAAGAAGAAGGCACGTTTCGCAAAGAGGCTCATCGACTCCCTTCACGGTGAAGCCTAGAAAGCTTGTCAAGACCTCCTTGGTGACCCAAGCAAGCTTCGAGCTGAGGACAGCTACAAGAGCGTCTTCTCGGCCCTTCAGTCCATTGAGAAGGTCGGGTGTGATCAAGAAGACGGAGGCCTTCGACGCCTTCTTCGACCGATGCTTTCGGCGTCGGGGGCAATCCATGGATGGCTTCCTGAGGATGCGCCGTGAGGCGTTGTCAGACCTCGTGGACCTGGCCGACGGCGTGACGATGTCCGAGGACCTGCTCGCCTACTTCTTGCTTCGGAACGCCGGGCTTTCACGAGAGGACCGCCGCCAGATTCTCCTTTCGAATCAGAGCGATTAATTGCTGGAGGGCATCGAGAAATCCCTCCGCATCTCCTACTTCGACGCCCACGAGAAGGAGAGAAGCAGCGGCGGCTATGGTCCGGCTGGCAAGAAAGGCGGCAAAGGCTATGGCCGGGGATCTGGTGGCAAGCGAGGTGCCTGCGCCCACGTCGCCTACGACGACGAAGAGGACCTCGAGGACGAGGAGGCGGCCGGCGAGGACGAGACGGACGAGTACTGCGCCATGGCCGCGGAAGCCGACGACGAGGAGGCCCCGGACGAGCCGGAGGAAGTGTCCGACATGGGCGTGTCCGAGGACGAGGCGATCTACACAGAGAACGCCACGTACCAGGAAAGCCGGCGCAAGCTGAAAGAACTTCAGAAAAGCCGCGGCTTTCTTCGGCCCAAGGAGCCGGGCCAGTCGGGAGCCGAGCGGCGAGCCCAGATCAACAAGGAGAAGCAGAGAACCAGGTGTTCGGTGTGCAACCGCCTGGGGCATTGGGCCGGCGACGCGGCCTGTCCGAAGAAGGGCTCGGGAGGACCCAGCCGGTCCCACTCAAGCCGCGGCCGCGGAAAGGGCAACCGAGGACGTGGACATAAGGGCGGCAAGGCCTTTGTGGTGACGAGTCGCCTCTCTTCTTCAGCTTGGGCGACGACGGCCGGGAGGATCAGCTGCAACATGGTCCGGCCCGGAGCGAAGGCGAGATGCAACAAGACGCCGGCCGGACCTACTTGGACGATCGGCGGAAGCAAGGCTATGCCCCGGAGGCCAGCGACTGGGAGTACGCGCCGCCTCCTTTCCCAATGGAGGCCAGGGCTCACGAGCCTTCGGCCCGCCGCAGCTCAGACGAGGACACCGTGCAGATGGTGATCAAGGTGAACAAGAAGGACGTTGAGGAGGTCCCCGTGACGAGCTTCCGAGAGGCCCGGCCCGAACGGCTGGAGGAACTTCGTTTGCGAGAGCTCCAGAGCGACTGCGATCGTTGGGGCATTGCCGTGTCCGGGAACAAGGCAGATGTCGTGGAGCGCCTGCAGGTGTTCTACTCCGGAGGCTATGTGAAGAAGAAGGGGTCGGCCCACAGGTATGTTCGCCTTCGAGAAGCCGGGCCGGCCGCACAGCCAACATCCTCTACTACCACCGCAAGGCCCGCCGTGGCGAAGCCAAGGAACGCCGAGATGACAGCCACGCCGCCGCGAGGAGCCAAAGCCAAAGGAGCTGCACGAGACCACCATGATCCCGGCGACCCTCGGATATTTCGAAGTTACGTGGAGATGCCGGAGGAGACGATTGACCCGCGCACGGGGTTGCCGATCCCGCCTGGGATGGTCGTGGGACAGGTGGTCGACGAGATCGCCTGTGTGGTTTGTAAGTGTGGCATGGTTCTGCGCCGGCGTCGGGATGGCACTGCATTCTTCTTTGGTTGCAGCAACTTTGCCACTGCCAAGTCTTGCAAGTTTGCATACAACATGGATGAAGGACTTCGTGTCCTGGAGACGGCCCGACGTGGCCGAGCCTCAGGGGCCTCCCGGCCCTAGGGAGGCAGCGAGACTGAGGGCAGTGAGGTTTTCACCCGCCACCGGCGCCGGCCTTCTGGAGGCCAACGCGGCGGAAGCATGCCAAACGAATTCAGGGAAGTTTCGCTGTGAATTTGCCGAGTCGCTTTTCTTGAAGAATTCGAACTTTGCCTTTGCTGGTGGTACCACTTTGGACCACCAAGACGACCAAGGCTAACGACCCAACGAGGCCGTGGACGAGTCCCGCGTGGCTTTGGTGGACACAGCCTGCACATCGTGCCTTCACTCCCAGAGGTGGCGGCTGACCTACAGCCGATGCTTGCCGAGCGGAACCACTTGTGTACCCACGAATGCCGGCAAGATCTTTCACTTCGCCAACGGCCAGTCAAGCGGCAGCCGCCTCGTTGTGTGGCGCGTGCCAGTCTGGATCGGGGGCATGGCCGGAGAAGTTCTTTCTTCCGAAATGGAAGAGGGCTTAACGCCACTGCTCCTATCTCCATCCCGGCTATGAAGGCCCTCGACTTCGTGATCCACATGCGCCGGGAGATGATACAGGCCGGGGCGCTGGGAGTCCAGTTCCCGATGGTGGTGACCGGCACCCGGCACTTAGCCGTGAATGTGTCGCCGACCAGTGGTGCCGAAGCTGAAGCCATTGACCCCGCGGTCGCCGAGGACCCCGCTCTGGCGATCTACTACGCCGAGGAGGCCAAATACCCTTTGCTGAGCCTGGCCTACTTTGCCGAGCAGGACGACCTTACGCAGCCAGGGAAAACGACTGCAAAGGAGAAGCCGGAACTGCGACGTCGCGGAGTTCGCCCTGGAGACAAGGTCGGGCAACTGGCACCACGGAGGGCCACCGAGCTCAGCAAGACAGCCCGGAAGCAGCAACAGCAGCACCGAGAAACCTGGATAGCACTTCGTCGGGACTACCAGGCCGCCGAGCAATGGAGCACCGACGGCTTCCGGAACACGGTGATCTACGAGCCCTTCGGCCAAAGCTCAGGGGTCACGCGAGCTGGGGCCGAGCTGTTTGGATGGACGAATTCACGTCCCTTGGCCAACCTAGACGGGCACGACCTGGGGACCCGAGCCGGGAAGGAGGCAGCTGTGGATGTGCTAGAGCAACACCCCTTTCCCTTGACCGGCAGCTACAGGTGAGAAGTACGAGGGCAGCCCGCGGTCTGCTGAAGCAAGCTGTTCGGCTATGTGCCTGGCAATCGGACGCCGGGCGCCTCTACCTGCTCGGTCTTCCTGTTCGACTTTTTCGCCCTGTGTGGCTGGATTTGCTGCAAAAGCTGCCGGGCAGCCATGCCGAGGGAGATCAATGTTGCTTCGGGAAGTTCGACGCCAGGACTATGCGGAGGCCATGGCGTACCACGAGGGCAGCCAGGTGCAGCGGCACGCTTTCCCGGCCGAGGGCGAGGATATGGACCTGGACTCTGGAGATGAAGATATGGAGGAGCCCTGGGAGGACGAGTGGCGGTTTGAAGACGATAGCCGCTTGATCCGAGTACACCGGGTCCTGCGACGCAAGCTCATCCGCGGCCGAAGGAGGACACGGATGCTGCTACAAGACGGCACTCGCCGGGAGCACGAAGATGACTGGCGCCAGGCTTCGTGGCACCATCGCCGCATAGATATGGACTTCCTCTGGACCGGCGAGACCGAGTTCCTCGTAGAGCAAGGCGGGGGCCCAGCACAAGAAGCACCACCTTCACAACAAGCGCAGGAATCCCGAGATGACAGGGTCCATTTAGATATTTCAGCTATGCCGTATGACTCTGCCGTGTACGAAGACGAGGCCCAGGGTTACTCGCCTTCGTTACCTGTGGGTTCACCTTCATCAGCAGATCCGTTTCCAGAGCTTTTCGATGACTACCCCGGTCAAGAAGCCACAGCACAAGAAACACCACCTGAACCACAACAAGCACAGGAATCTCGAGATGACAGGGTTTTTCGACGGCGGCGCCAAAGGACCCGCCAGCTCCAGAGGGGCTTCTGGACCGAGGTGGAACACGAAGACACCAAGGCCCTCTTGAACGGCACCGTCATTACCTTCAGCAGAGCCCGGCTGCAACCTGGGTCAAGATCAACCTCGACTCCGACCTGGGAACAGCCTGGAAAGCACAGGAAGCTGGAGAAGCCGACGTCACCTTGGTACTGGCTTCAACGCAAGCGCGACGCCTCGATCAAGAAACCACAGCCACATGCCGGCCCACATGATGTACCGCTACGACGGTCCTATTTGTTGCTGGAAGACGGGACCTGCCTGAACACTGGTTGCGAGATGTGGACCAATCTCTCCCCGGCGGCACAAGTGAGACCTTTGGTGGCCCAGGGTCGGAGGATCTATGTGGCGCTGTTTGGCAAGCCACCTGGAGACGGAGGAGATGAGACGCCAAGGGGACCGGAAGCCGGAGGCCGAGAAGCTGAGCGAAAGCGACAATGGGACAATTTGCCCAGGGAACTCAAGCTAGCAATTCAGCGAGTTCACAATAATCTCGGTCATCCTGAGCCGACTACTATGCCTTACTATGCTCCGAGCCCTTCGGGTGTCAAGAGCTTCAGAAGTTGCCTTGAAGGCTTGTCGGCTGTTTCAGTGTCCTGAGTGCTTGCGCCTGAAAGCCCCGAAGAAGCAAAGACCCTCGAAACTGCCGATCGCGGACGAGTTCAACGTCGCCATCGGGATCGACGTGTTCCAGGAGAAGGACTCTCAAGGAGACCAGTGGAGCTTCCTGAACGTGCTGTGCCAAGGCACCACTTTCCAAGTGGTGGCCGTGCTCCCCGACACTCACGCCAACCCGACCGCGGCAGTCGTGCTGGAGACGTTCCTGACTCAGTGGGTGAACTGGGCCGGCTACCCCGAGCGCGGTGTGATGACCGACCGGGCGAAGTACTTCATGGCGGAGTTCGCCGAGGACATCGCCGACAGCGGCTGCTACCTAGACTCAGCGGCCAAGGCTTCGCCGTGGCAGCTTGGGCAGATAGAGAGGCACGGCGACACTTGGAAGAACGCTTTTCGGAAGCTGGTGTGGGCACAGCAAGTTGCAGGGCGAGAAGAAGTTCAACTCGCCACGGCCGCCACCACGCAGGCCAAGAACGACCTCTCGAGAAAGTCTGGCTTTTCGCCAGGGCAATGGGTGCTGGGCCGATCCATTCGGCTCCCGGCCAACCTGGCCGATGATGGAGAAGTGGCTCGAATTGGAGCCCAGGCCATGGCCGAGACGCCCAACACCAAGTTCTACCGCAAAAGCCAGCTGAGGTTTTCCGCCCGGGAGGTTTTCGTAAAGGCCTCAAGTGACGCCAGCCTCCGACGAGCAGAGCTTCGCAAAGTTCGGCCCAGCCGTGGCCCCTTCAATGTGGGCGACTACGTTTTCTACTACGACGCCTCGTCGAAGGAACCCGGGCCCAACTGTTGGCGCGGAGTCGGCCGCATCGTCGGAAAGGAGGGCACACATACCCTCTGGATTTCTCACCGAGGGATCTTGGTGGCGGCAAGCCCGGAGCAGGTGGCACACGCTATAGCGAAGATGAAGTTCAGAGCTGGACCGCCATTGGCAACGAAACCGAGCTCATGGACCTGATGCCTGCTGCAGGGGGCACAGGGTACATAGACATTCGCCAAGGTGAAAGACCTCCTCTTCCCGAACCTGGGGTGCACCGGCGGCTTTACCGGAGCCACCACCTTTACCAGCCGAGGTCGGAGAATGGAGCTCGGGTTCCCTTTCTTCCTCCAGGGCGCGACAAGATTCACAGCGTGATGCTCAACGGCATCGGCGCTCTCGTGAGTTTTTCCGGGCCCAGGAGCAGAGGAGGAAGCAAGCTCGGACAGAGGCAAGACCAAGCTCGGAGACAGCCGGGCCGAGGGCACCACCGCCGTCCGCGTCAGAGGTCCCTGTAGATCCCACCGGGGCCGAGGACCCCGACCTGGAGGAGAGCCCGGTCTATGTATTTCGATCCCGAGATCCATGACTACCACGAGCCCTGTGGTTGAGGATCCCGAGGCGGAGGCAGCCGAGAGAGAAGCCAAGCGGCTCAGAACCGTCGAGCCTGGAGAGACCGCAAGCTATGCAGCCGAAACCTGTTGCGTTTATGTGGCCTACGAGTCCCAGGCCTACCTGACGCACAAGGCCAGGGAGACTTACCGCAAGCACGAGTCCGCTTACCTGGCTTGGGGAGTTTCAGAGAGCGAGTTCCTCTTCGGCTTTAGGCGGAACGACTTTGAGCACAAATACCAGGCGATGGCTGCCGGCAACGCCCTGGAAGAAGAAGGGGCGAAGGGAGCTACAGCTGAACGAGCTCAGCCGCGGACAGCTCTTGAGAGCGAGGAAGGCCATTTATGGTTTTGCCGAGGCAGCCCGGATGTTCTGGCTGGCTTTGAAAGAGCATTTGGAATCCGACGGTTGGGTTGAGAGCCGTCTAGAGCCTGCTCTCTTTTACCTTCGGGAACAAAGCGAGTTAGTCGGCATCCTGGTGACCCACGTGGACGACATCGAAGGCGGGGTCAAGGATGGCTGGCTCGACAAGGCCTTCCAGAAGTCCTCCGTTGCCCTCGACTTCGCCACCAACCATTTCCGGGACTTTATCTTTAGAGGGCGGGAGGTAAAGCAAGGGCCGCAAAACCACATCGACGTGAGCATGCGCAACTAAGACTTGAGTATGAAGACGGTGTCCATAGGACAGGAACGGCGGCGCCAGCTCACCGACGGCCTCACGCCACAAGAGCTGGAGACCTTCCAGAGCGTCTCGGGCGAGCTGGGCTGGATCACAAGACAACTTCGTTGCGATCTAGCATATGAGAACGGGGTGATCCAAAGGTGCAAAGGTGACCCTTGTGTGGCGGACCTGGTGCGTTTGAAACAGTATGTGGGGCAAGCCAGGCGTGGTGCCGACTTCCGGCAACGCTATTGGGCTGATGTGGACCTGCGCAACTGTGTGATCGTGCACTTGGCGGACAGTGGCCACGCCAACGGGACCCCCGCCTACAAGGAGGAAACGCGTTACCGCAGCGTCGGTGGCTATTTCATCCTGGCGGCGAACCCTGAGATCTTGGAGGGCAAGACGGCGCGGGCCAACATATTGGCCTACCACTCTTCACAGACCAAACGGGTCTGCCGAAACACGCTGGCGGCTGAGGCCAGCCATTTGGCCGAGGCCATTGAAGCTGGTGATTGGGCCATTGTGCTGCTGGAAGAAGCCCTGACGTGGCAAGTGGATTTGAAAGGGTGGCCGAGCGTCATCGAGAAGCGGCAGAGGGTGTATGTCACCGATGCCCGCTCCGTTTTCGACTACCTGGCTAAAGAATCAACGAGCACCAGCAGCGACAAGAGGATGGCGATCGAAGGAGCCCTCCTTCGAGAGACGGTGCGCAAGCCTGGCGCACACGTGCGCTGGATTGATGGCCTACAGAACGTGTCCAACGTGCTCACCAAGCACAACGCCGAGAAGGACACCCTGCGGGAATTCCTTCGGACGGGCATGACCACTCTGGTCCAGACCCGTGAGAACCAGAAGCTGAAGGAGCGCAAGCAGGCGGAACGCCAAAGGCGAAAGGTGGCAAAGGACAAGGACGGCGAGGCTCAGGCTGACCAACGGCGACAGCGACGACAAGAAGCTGCTGCCGAAGCCGAGAACCTGCTGAACGACTCTGGTCCTGAGGCGGACTATAAAGAGGGAGTGAGATTCTCCAGAGTGCAGTACAGCCTCAGTCCTTTTATCTGCGTGCCGGCCGACTTCTCAAGCTGGCCCGAAAGCAATTGTGCGCAGAGACATGTTGCCCGCCACGAGCATGTTCCGGTCTGCTTAAAGCACAACCGCAGGATGCAAGCAGGCAGAAGTTTCACAGACTACACGTTGCATGCTAGCGACCAAAAAAGCCCATACGCTGCCAGTGCTTTCCGCACAAGCGCATAGCGATCATTGTAGCCAGGGCTTGCAGGTGCATTTGCAGCAGCAGGTCCCAGCAAGCAGTAGCTGTATCGGCAGCAGAATTGGCGCCTTCTGGATATGAAACACATGCACAGCATCGCATGGATGCTTTTAGGATCTTTTTATGCCCAGCAATCCCGGGAGGGTTCTGGCTTCTGTAGGTTCCCGCCTCGTTCGCGCATACCCAGAGGCCAGAGGCGCGATGCCGGCTTCCCGCTGCAGGTCCACCCGAACGGCAACCTCATCGCCGCGGGCTCCACCTATTCCTCGCTGGATGGCTACACCAATGACGGTTTAACCGATGCTTTGCTCATGAGCTTCGACAGCACCGGCGCCTGGCAATGGACCGTGTAGCGCGGAGGCTCAAGGGTCAGTTTAGTCTGAATTCTTGCAACGTTCCAAGAGAGGGACAGCTGACCGACCGCAGAGCATCGCCCGGAGCCCAGCCCTCCGCCCAGGCTCCGACATGGATCGCTTCCGTGCCCTGCAGGCAGGGAGCGGGGGGAGCGAGGGAGCAGGGGCAGCCGGCCGTGCAGCGCCGTTTGCAGAGAGTTCGGAGCTCGAGGCGTAATATTATCGCAAGCGCATGGCGTGCATTTGCAGCAGCAGTTCCCAGCAAGAATTAGTAGCAGCAGGGACAAGGCTTCCAGGGGCCTTTACAAATCTCCGGCTCGCGCAAATGAAAGGCCAAAAACTATCAAAATTGGCCAGGAGCTGGAGGCACAGCAGAGATAGGGCCAGGGCTGAGTGGCAGCAGATGCAAAATTTAAATTGGCTCCTTCTGGATATGAAGCACATGCACAGCATCGCAAAAGACGAGGAGGCCTACAGCAAAGACCGCCGAAGGCCTCTATCTGCCGGGATGAGGAACCCCCAGCCTTCCGAGAGCTCGAGGATGAGAGGCGGATGCTTTGAGGATCTCTACGGCCAGCAATTCCGGGAGGGTTTTGACCGTTGGATCTGTGCCAAAACGCGCGATCCGGAAACGATCTCTGGGGTTCATGGGCCAAGGCCATGCGAGGCTACTATAGGCTCCCACCTCGTTCGTGCATACCCAAAGCAGGCAAGAACAGGTGATGGGGTTTCGTGAACCCTGGGTCAAGAAGAGGCTGCACTGGCTCCCCGCTGCAGGTCCACCCGAACGGCAACCTCATCGCCGCGGGCTTCACATCTTCGTCGTTGGATGGCTACACCAATGCCGGTTCATCCGATACTTTGCTCATGAGCGTCGACAGCACCGGCACCTGGCAATGGACCGTGCAGCGCGGAGGCTCCAGGGTGGTTCCTGCAAGTTTTGTCTGAGTTTCTTGCAACGTGCCAAGAGTAAGAGAGGGACAGCAGACCGCAGAGCAGCGCCCGGAGCCCAGCCCTCCGCCCAGGCTCCGGCGATGACGTCTTCGAAGCCCTGCAGGCAGGGAGTGGGGGCAGCGAGGGAGTGTGGGCAGCGGGCTGTGTGCAGCGCCGTTTGCAGAGAGTTGGGAGCTCGAGGCGTAGTAGTATCGCAAGCACATGGCGTGCATTAGCCCTGGCTGCAGGTGCATTTGCAGCAGCAGTTCCCAGCAAGAATTAGTAGCAGCAGGGGCAAGGCTTCCAGGGGCCTTTACAAATCTCCGGCTCGCGCAAATGAAAGGCCAAAAACTATCAAAATTGGCCAGGAGCTGGAGGCACAGCAGAGATAGGGCCAGGGCTGAGTGGCAGCAGATGCAAAATTTAAATTGGCTCCTTCTGGATATGAAGCACATGCACAGCATCGCAAAAGACGAGGAGGCCTACAGCAAAGACCGCCCAAGGCCTCTATCTGCCGGGATGAGGAACCCCCAGCCTTCCGAGAGCTCGAGGATGAGAGGCGGATGCTTTGAGGATCTCTACGGCCAGCAATTCCGGGAGGGTTTTGACCGTTGGATATGTGCCAAAAAGCGCGATCCGGAAACGATCTCTGGGGTTCATGGGCCAAGGCCATGCGAGGCTACTATAGGCTCCCACCTCGTTCGTGCATACCCAAAGCAGGCAAGAACAGGTGATGGGGTTTCGTGAACCCTGGGTCAAGAAGAGGCTGCACTGGCTCCCCGCTGCAGGTCCACCCGAACGGCAACCTCATCGCCGCGGGCTACACATCGTCCTCACTGGATGGCTACACCAATGCCGGTTCATCCGATGCTTTGCTCATGAGCTTCGACAGCACCGGCACCTGGCAATGGACCGTGCAGCGCGGAGGCTCCAGGGTGGTTCCTGCAAGTTCAGTCTGAGTTTCTTGCAACGTGCCAAGAGTAAGAGAGGGACAGCTGACCGACCGCAGAGCAGCGCCCGGAGCCCAGCCCTCCGCCCAGGCTCCGGCGATGACGTCTTCGAAGCCCTGCAGGCAGGGAGTGGGGGCAGCGAGGGAGTGTGGGCAGCGGGCTGTGTGCAGCGCCGTTTGCAGAGAGTTGGGAGCTCGAGGCGTAGTAGTATCGAAAGCACATGGCGTGCATTAGCCCTGGCTGCAGGTGCATTTGCAGCAGCAGTTCCCAGCAAGAATTAGTAGCAGCAGGGACAAGGCTTATGAGATTATTAGGGCCACACAAGGGGGTTTCCAAAATAATTATTTTTGCACATTTATTGCATATTTTTTGTGCGTCGCGTTTGCGTATTTTTTGCATGTGTTGTTTCGTTTGCAAATATTTTGCATATTTTTTGCGTTTTTTTTGCATGTGTAATTTTGGGTGTTTAAATGCAAAACAGCCACACAAATATGCAATACACACTGCGTTTTGCATATTTTTTGGCGTTTTTTTTGCATGTGTAATTTTGGGTGTTTAAACGCATGTGTTGCAAGGCTGCTGCCAGGGCCCAGGGCCCAGGCACGCCAAAAATATGCAAAAAATGTGCAAAACACACTGTGTTTTGCATATTTTAGGGGTGCCGGGCCCACCGGCTGGGCCAGGGCACGGCCCGTAAAATATGCAAAACACAGTGTGTTTTGCACATTTTTTGCGTATTTTTGGCGTGCCGGGCCCACCGGCTGGGCCAGGCACGGCCCGTAAAATATGCAAAACACAGTGTGTTTTGCACATTTTTTGCGTATTTTTGGCGTGCCGGGCAGGTCCTGCCAAGGCCCCAGCACCCAAAGGCCCCAAGGCCCAAAGGCACCAAGGTTCAGAACCGTGTGATGCAAAAAAATGCAAAAAATATGCAAAAAATATACAAAAAATATGCAATAAATTTGCAAAAGATTTGCAACACAAAAAAAACATGCAAAATATATGCAAACCCGACGTGCAAAAAATATGCAATCAATTTGCAAAATATCCGCAAAATAATTAGTTTCAGTTTCATAGGCTGTAGCCTGCTAATAATCTCATAAGACAAGGCTTCCAGGGGCCTTTACAAATCTCCGGCTCGCGCAAATGAAAGGCCAAAAACTATCAAAATTGGCCAGGAGCTGGAGGCACAGCAGAGATAGGGCCAGGGCTGAGTGGCAGCAGATGCAAAATTTAAATTGGCTCCTGGATATGAAGCACATGCACAGCATCGCAAAAGACGAGGAGGCCTACAGCAAAGACCGCCGAAGGCCTCTATCTGCCGGGATGAGGAATCCCCAGCCTTCCGAGAGCTCGAGGATGAGAGGCGGATGCTTTGAGGATCTCTACGGCCAGCAATTCCGGGAGGGTTTTGACCGTTGGATCTGTGCCAAAAAGCGCGATCCGGAAACGATCTCTGGGGTTCGTGGGCCAAGGCCATGCGAGGCTACCTCGTTCGTGCATACCCAAAGCAGGCAAGAACAGGTGATGGGGTTTCGTGAACCCTGGGTCAAGAAGAGGTTGCGCTGGCTCCCCGCTGCAGGTCCACCCGAACGGCAACCTCATCGCCGCGGGCTACACATCGTCCTCACTGGATGGAAGCACCAATGCCGGTTCATCCGATGCTTTGCTCATGAGCTTCGACGGCACCGGCACCTGGCAATGGACCGTGCAGCGCGGAGGCTCCAGGGTGGTTCCTGCAAGTTCAGTCTGAGTTTCTTGCAACGTGCCAAGAGTAAGAGAGGGACAGCTGACCGACTCCCCGAGCCCCTCCCCTCGCCGGTCGGCTCGAGGTCCGGCTCCAGCTGGGGCACGTGAGGAGCCGCCTCACGTTCAAGTCTTCAGTGAGAACTTTCTTTTGCATGTGGGGTCCGTAGCTTCATCTCCCGAGACTTCTGAAGGGTTCGGGAAGGTAGGACTGGGCTCCCTCCGCTCGGCAACAGAAGCGAGGCCATCAAGGCCCGGATCGAGACAGTGCTGGAGGATGGTGCTGCCGGAGCAGCAGAGCTGACCTGATCGTGGCCCCTTTACCCGGGCCACAGGGTGTGGAAGAGGCAGGCTCGACCTGCCCGGCAGAAGTGCTTGGAGGGCCAGAGAGTGGCCGGTCCCAAGGACCTCCCCTCGCCTTTAGCTGAGGTCGCTGCCCCGGCCCCAACCTCGCTTCAGCAGTCGACCGTGGGTCCTGCTTCCTTGGCCCTAGCAAAGGCTCCGCCTTCAACCGAGAGCAGCGCCCGGAGCCCAGCCCTCCGCCCAGGCTCCGACATGGATCGCTTCCGTGCCCTGCAGGCAGGGAGCGGGGGCAGAGGGAGCGTGGGCAGCGGGCTGTGTGCAGCGCCGTTTGCAGAGAGTTCGGAGCTCGAGGCGTAATATTATTCGGAAGCGCATGGCGTGCATTGGCCCTGGCTGCAGGTGCATGTGCAGCAGCAGTTCCCAGCAAGAAGTAGCAGTAGTTGGGGCAGGGCTTCCAGTGGCCTTTACGAATCTCCGGATCGCCCCCAAGGGCCGCAAAGGAAAGGCCAAAGACTGACAAAATTGGCCAGCCCCACCCCCCCCCCGCTTTCCGAGAGCTCCAGGATGAGAGGCGGATGCTTTTAGGATCTTTACGCCCAGCAATTCCGGGAAGGTTCTGACCGTTGGATCTGTGCCAATAAGCGCGATCCGGATCTCTGGGGCCGACTGGGGTTCATGGGCTAAGGTCATGCTAGGCTCCCACTTCGTTCGTGCATAGCCAGAGGCCTCAGCTAACTGACAACCGCCCCAAGTGCCAGGCTTTCTTGCAGGTTACAGGTGGAAGGTTTGAAGTTTTTGCATAATGCTCGGCTTCACGCTTCCGGCTTCGGGCCGTTGATGGGGTTTCGTGAACACTGGGTCAAGAAGAGGCTGCACTGGCTCCCCGCTGCAGGTCGACTGGAACGGCCACCTCATCGCCGCGGGCTACACAGATTCCTCGCTGGATGGAAACACCAATGCCGGTTCAAACGATGCCTTTCTCATGAGCTGCGACAGCACCGGCACCTGGCAATGGACCGTGCAGCGCGGAGGCTCCAGGGTGGTTCCTGCAAGTTTTGTCTGAGTTTCTTGCAACGTGCCAAGAGAGAGACCGCAGACCGCAGAGCAGCGCCCGGAGCCCAGCCCTCCGCCCAGGCTCCGGCGATGACGGCTTCTATGGCCTCCAGGCAGGGAGTGGGGGCAGCGAGGGAGCGCGGGCAGCGGGCTGTGTGCAGCGCCGTTTGCAGAGAGTTCGGAGCTCGAGACGTAGTTTGATTGCACGCGCATGGCGTGCAGTAGCCCTGGCTGCAGGTGCATTTGCAGCAGTTCCCAGCAAGAAGTAGCAGCAGGGGGAAGGCTTCCAGGGGCCTTTACAAATCTCCGGATCGCCCCCAAAGGAAAGGCCAAAAACTGTCAAAATTGGCCAGCAGGATGAGAGGGGATGCTTTTAGGATCCATACGCCCAGCAAATTTGGGAGGGTTCTGACCGTTGGACCTGTGCCGAAAAGCGCGATCCGGGAATGATCTCTGGGGCCGACTGGGGTTCATGGGCTAATGTCCTGCTAGGCTACTTTAGGCTCCCACTTCGTTCGTGCATACCCAGAGCCCAGAGGCCTCAGCGAACTGACAACCGCCCCAAGCGCCAGTTCCAGGTGGAAGGATTGAAGTTTTTGCATGAGTCCGGCTTCGGGCCGTTGATGGGGTTTCGTGAACACTGGGTCAAGAAGAGGCTGCACTGGCTCCCCGCTGCAGGTCGACCCGAACAACAACCTCATCGCCGCGGGCTTCACAACTTCCTCGCTGGATGGCTACACCAATGCCGGTTTAAACGATGTCTTTCTCATGAGCTTCGAGGCCTGTGAAGTCGTCACAGCGTCGCAGTGTACACTTTCCTGCAGTACTGGAGCTGTTTTCGGCCATTTGGGCTCCGTCGAAGTTGGCTCGGCACGCGTGCTGGTAGGTTGAAGCGTGTCACGTTGACATGATTGACACTAATGACACTTTTGCCCCTTGTTTGAGCCTGTGTGCCAGACAGTGCCGGCACCCTGACCTGTGCAGGGAAGTCCGACCACCACCACGACCACCGCGACCACCACGAGCACCACCACCAAGGCCTGGCATCTCCCAGCTGCAACGGTGAGTTAGGACCCCTGTGTGCGTCTCGAGCAGCGCCACTGCAACCCAGGTGCCGGGGAGATTTTTTTTGTTGATGTTTTGGTGTGTGTGTGTGTGTGTGTATGTGTTTTGCCAAGCGCTGGCAGACCTCGAGCAGCGTGACCAGAACGAGTTCCACAAGATCCACCGTCACCTGGGCTGCGCATGGCAGACCGCGCTATAGACCCGTAAATATCATCGCAAAGCGCGTGCCCGCCTGGGCCGCAGGTGTGTTAGCAGTGGCAGCAGCAGCAGCAGCAGCAGCAGTTCCGGCAACAAGTAGCACCACAGCCGAAAGGGCAAGGCCACAGCCTCCGCTGCAATTTCCATCCTCCACAAGGCGCAACCCTGACATCTGTGACGGTGAATCTAGCCCCTCCATACATGTAGGCCATGAGACGACCGACTCCTTTTATTTTCAACAGGAGTCCAAGTGGGGACTGGAGACCAGAAGCGGTCGAAGACGTTCGCATTAATCTAGGCCGGTAGCGTACGCCCCGTTTTGGCTGTTGTGGGGGAAAACTAATGGTGGCGGGTGGGACGACAAAAATGACGGAATCTATTCCGTTTGTTGTGTCGAACGAAGAAAGGTTGTCTGTTTCTTGAACGAAAATTTGAGCGGTCCTGTATCTCCTAGCACCTAGCACGGCAGCAGCGATCTCATTTGCCAGGATTTCCTATGCCTCTAAAGAAGTGAATAGAAACTGCTCCCCCTCCCAACAAGAGAGTTACCGTGTCTTCTAAGAAGAAATAAGACCTGAGCTGCCACCGAGGTAACCGCCACCGCCGGAGCTGCCGGCGACTGGCAATGGACCGCGCAGCGCGGAGGCTCCAGGGTGGTTCCTGCAAGTTTAGTCTCAGTTTCTCGAGGGCAGACCGCAGAGCAGATTCCGCCCAGGCTCCGGGGACGACTGGTTCATTATACCCTGCAGGCAGGCAGCGGGGGCAGCGAGGGAGCCGGGGGCAGCGGGTTGCGCAGCGCCGTTTGCAGAGAGTTTGGAGCTCGAGGCATAGTCTTATCGCAAGCTCGTAGCGTGCATTAGCCCTGGCTGGAGGTGCATTTGCAGCCGCAGTTCCCAGCAAGAAGTAGCAGTAGTAGCGGCAGCAAATCACTGGGTCAAGAAGAGGCTGCGCTGCAGGTCCATCCGAACGGCAACCTCATCGTCGCGGGCTTCACAGAGTCCTCACTGGATGGCTACACCAATGCCGGTGGTCGCGATGCTTTCATCATGAGCTTCGACAGCACCGGCGCCTGGCAATGGACCGTGCAGCGCGGAGGCTCCAGGGTCCTTCCTGCAAGTTTAGTCTGAGTTTCTTGCAACGTGCCGAGAGAGGAACAGCAGACCGTAGAGCAGCGCCCGGACACCCCAGCCCTCCGCCCAGGCTCCGGCTATGACCGCTTCAATGCCCTGCAGGCCGGGAGTGGGGGCAGCGGGTTGCACAGCGGCGTTTGCAGAAAGTTCGGAGCTCGAGGCGTCGTCTTATCGCAAGCACATAGCGTGCATTGGCCCTGGCTGCATTTGCATGTGCAGCAGCAGCTCCCAGCCAGAAGTAGCAGTAGCTGTAGCGGCATCAAATCAAGGGCGCGTGACGGGGCTTGGTGAACACTGCCTCAAGAAGAGGCTGCGCTGCAGGTCCATCCGAACGGCAACCTCATCGTCGCGGGCTCCACAGAGTCCTCGCTGGATGGCTACACCAATGCCGGTTCAGAAGATGCTTTGATCATGAGCTTCGACAGCACCGGCGCCTGGCAATGGACCGTGCAGCGCGGAGGCTCCAGGGTGGTGCCTGCAAGTTTAGTTTCAGTTTCTAGAGAGAGACTACAGACCGCAGAGCAGCGCCCCAACCCCAGCCCTCCGCCCAGGCTCCGAAAGTGATGGCTTCAATGAACTGGAGGCAGGCAGCGGGGGCAGCGAGGGAGCCGGGGGCAGCGGGTTGCGCAGCGCCGTTTGCAGAAAGTTCGGAGCTCGAGGCGTATATTATCGCAAGCTCGTAGCGTGCATTAGCCCTGGCTGGAGGTGCATTTGCAGCAGCAGTTCCCAGCAAGAAGTAGCAGTAGCTGTAGCGGCAGGGCTTCCAGGGGCCTTTACAAATCTCCGGATCACCCCAAGGGCCGCAAAGGAAAGGCCAAAAACTGTCAAAATCGGTGGGGCTGAATGGCAGCAGATGCAAAGTTTAAATTGACGCCGCCTGGATATGAAGCACCTATGCACAGCATCGCAAAACACGAGACCGCCTAAAGCAAAGGCCGCCGAAGGCCTGTATCTGCCGGGAGCCACCCCCGCCTGAAATCACCTCAGCGTTCCGAGAGCTCCAGGATGAGAGGCGGATGCTTTTAGGATCTCTGCCCAGCAATTCCGGGGGGGTTCTGACGGTGTTCTGACCGTTGGATCTGTGCCAAGAAGCGCGGTCCTGAAATGATCTCTGGGGTTCATGGGCTAAGGCCATGCTAGGTATAGGCTCCCTCTTCGTTCGTGCATATATCCAAAGACCAGAGGCCTTAGCGAACTGACAACAGCCCCAAGCGCCAGGCTTTCTTGCAGGTTCCAGGTGGAAGGTTTAGAGGTTTTTGCGCGATGCCGGCTTCCCGCTGCAGGTCGACTGGAACGGCAACCTCATCGCCGCGGGCCACACATCTTCCTCGCTGGATGGCTACACCAATGCCGGTTCAAACGATGTCTTTCTCATGAGCTTCAACAGCACCGGCGCCTGGCAATGGACCGTGCAGCGTGGAGGCTCCAGGGTCCCTTCTGCAAGTTTAGTCTGAGTTTCTAGGAACCTGCCAAGAGACTAAGAGAGACTGCAGACCGCAGAGCAGCGCCCGGACCCCAGCCCTCCGCCCAGGTTCCGGCGCTGATTACTTATCTGCCCTGCAGGCCTGGAGCGGGGGCAGCGGGCTTTGTGCAGCGCCGTTTGCAGAGAGTTTGGAGCGGGAGGCATAATACTATCGCAAGCGCATGGCGTGCATTAGCCCTGGCTGCAGTAGTAGCGGCCGGGCTTCCAGGGGCCTTTACAATTTACAAGTCTCCGGATCGCCCCCAACGGCCGCAAAGGAAAGGCCGAAAGCCGAAAGCTGTCAAAATTGGCCAGGAGCTGGAGGCACAGCAGAGATAGGGCCAGGGCTGAGTGGCAGCAGATGCAAAATTCAATTTGATGCCACCTGGATATGAAACACAGCATCGCAAAACACGAGACCGCCTAAAGCAAAGGCCGCCGAAGGCCTGTATCTGCCGGGAGCCGCCCCCGCCTGAAATCACCTCAGCGTTCCGAGAGCTCCAGGATGAGAGGCGGATGCTTTTAGGATCTCTGCCCAGCAATTCCGGGAGGGTTCTGACGGTGTTCTGACCGTTGGATCTGTGCCAAGAAGCGCGGTCCTGAAATGATCTCTGGGATTCATGGGCTAAGGCCATTCTAGGTATAGGCTCCCACTTCGTTCGTGCATATACCCAAAGACCAGAGGCCTTAGCGAACTGACAACCGCCCCAAGCGCCAGGCTTTCTTGCAGGTTCCAGGTGGAAGGTTTAGAGGTTTTTGCGCGATGCCGGCTTCCCGCTGCAGGTCCATCCGAACGGCAACCTCATCGTCGCGGGCTCCACCTATTCCTCGCTGGATGGCTACACCAATGCCGGTGGTCGCGATGCTTTCATCATGAGCTTCGACAGCACCGGCGCCTGGCAATGGACCGTGCAGCGTGGAGGCTCCAGGGTCCTTCCTGCAATTTCTGGGAACCTGCCAAGAGAGAGACCGCAGACCGCCGAGCAGTGCCCGGACCAGCCCTCTGCCCAGGCTCCGGCTATGACCTCTTCCTAGCCCTGCAGGCAGGGAGCCGGGGGCAGCGGGTTGCGCAGCGCCGTTTGCAGAAAGTTCGGAGCTCGAGGCGTATATTATCGCAAGCTCGTAGCGTGCATTAGCCCTGGCTGGAGGTGCATTTGCAGCAGCAGTTCCCAGCAAGAAGTAGCAGCAGTAGCGGCAGGGCTTCCAGGGGCCTTTACAAATCTCCGGATCACCCCAAGGGCCGCAAAGGAAAATCCAAAAACTGTCAAAATCGGTGGGGCTGAATGGCAGCAGATGCAAAGTTTAAATTGACGCCGCCTGGATATGAAGCACCTATGCACAGCATCGCAAAACACGAGACCGCCTAAAGCAAAGGCCGCCGAGAGGCGGATGCTTTGCGGATCCTTACGCCCAGCAGTTCCGGGAGGGTTCTGACGGTGTTCTGACCGTTGGATCTGTGCCAAGAAGCGCGATCCTGAAATGATCTCTGGGATTCATGGGCTAAGGCCATGCTAGGTATAGGCTCCCACTTCGTTCGTGCATATATCCAAAGACCAGAGGCCTTAGCGAACTGACAACCGCCCCAAGCGCCAGGCTTTCTTGCAGGTTCCAGGTGGAAGGTTTAGAGGTTTATGCGGGATGGAAACTTAAAGCTGCAGGCAAGTGCCGGTGACGGCGTTTCGTGAACACTAGGTCAAGAAGAGGCTGCACTGGCTCCCCGCTGCAGGTCGACTGGAACGGCAACCTCATCGTCGCGGGCGACACATCGTCCTCGCTGGATGGCTACACCAATGCCGGTTTGTACGATGTTTTGCTCGTGAGCTTCAACAGCACCGGCGCCTGGCAATGGACCGTGCAGCGTGGAGGCTCCAGGGTCCTTCCTGCAAGTTTAGTCTGAGTTTCTAGGAACCTGCCAAGAGTTTGAGACCTGCCCAGGCTCCGGCAGAGATCCCTACAGGCAGGGCGCGGGGGCAGCGAGGGAGCCGGCGCAGCGCCGTTTGCAGAGAGTTCGGAGCTCGAGGCATAATATTATCGCAAGCGCATAGTGTGCATCAAAAAGCGCGATCCGGAAATGATCTCTGGGCTGCGAGCCTACTAGTAGGCTCCCACCTCGTTCGTGTTGATACCCAGAGGCCAGAGGCCTTAGCGAACTGACGACCGCCCCAAGCGCCAGGCTTTCTTGCAGGTTCCAGGTGGAAGGTTTAGAGTTTTTTGCGGGATGTGACCACATCACTTGTGATTTTCACTTTATTTCCAATTTCACAACGATTGTTGTCTCGTTGAGAAACGATCGTGCATGAACACTTCGGGCGGTTTTTGGGAAACTCTTTTGAACCTGATTTTTAACGATTGAGTTTTTCATGAACCTTATTCTTTGATGATCAGTTGCTAACATGTCTCCCGCGCACGCTCCTTCAAGCACATGAGTGCAAATTTTTGTTGAGCCTTGGGGCCCCTGCGTGAGTGCGGTCTCGACGTGCGTCGGTGCTCCCGGCAGTGGTGGCAGTTCCGGGTCCGTCCCGGGCTGCGAGTCGGAGTGAGATACACCGGACACCCGAGGCCGCCACTCCGCAAACACGTTGCATCTAGAAAGGCTCTGGGTGCTAACCGTGGGGTTCTGGCCATAGTTTCCTCAGCTCATGTCGGACCCCGCTCGGGCAACTGCAGAGAACAGTTTGGCGGGCGAACTGGCTGGCCCAGGGACCGTGCGGTCTTTTGCTTCGCCGGTGTCAGGGTTTATCTCTGACGTATTTCCGACACGGGCGACTACACGCAGCCACGTTTCGTCGGACAGCGATTGTGATATTCACCGGCTGGTTGACCGGTTTCCTGCGGCTGGCTCCGCGCTGGACTACGTGGATGAATCTGCAGATGGGCGGTCTGTAACCGGCGAGGCTGCTGGAGACTCCTTGGACCCTGGGAATGATGCTGCACTTTGGGCCCGCCTCCAGAGACTCGAGGAGCGACGGCCCTTTCTTTGGAGCTCCGCCTTTGAGCAACAGGGCTGGATCCGCGTGGTGCGGGATGGCGTGGAAGAGTCCGTGGTCTCCTGGTCTGGCCGTGATACAATGACGGCTCTCACCAATGCGGCGGCTCAGACTTGTGGGTCCCCTTTTGATGCTTGGCAGGTCGAGGAGATCGAGATGCGGCTCCGTTCCTGTGGCACGCGTGCTTCTTTCGAAAGCACCATTGAGGATGCCATGGCCGACAATATGTCTCGTGCTCTTCGACTTCTGCGTGCAGGTCGCTTTGGACGGCGTGTGGCCGCCTCTCGACGGCGACGCTAATGGTGTTACGCTGCCTTTATTCCGACTGCCGAATGACTTCGCCTTGGGCTGGCACCTTCGGTTGCTATGGAGGCTTTATTTTGTGGCGATCGTCTTCCTGGAACGGTGATGGTCGACTAAACTTCCAGGCCTCCGCTTCTGCAAAATGTGTTCTTCAGTGCGCGTGCATTCAGTCGAGCCTGCACTTTTGTCCTGCCTCATGAGTGATTTGCCGAAGCTGTCATGACAATTTTCTTGTTGCTCGCGCGCCTGCCCAGATGCATCCCAAACAGATGTTCATGTGGCGGGTACTTGCATGGCAACATGGACTGCTCACGCAACTCATTTGTGCTAGGACACTTCGGCGTACTGAAGCTTGTCAACCAGTGCTCTTTTCCAGGCTCAGTGCCGTGCTGCACTTCACATAACCTACGTCATGCTTTGGGATTGCCTTTTGTGCTAGGTTTGTCGCTGCGCATGTCCAATAGCCCTCGGGGTGACACGACTGCTGTGCTGGACGATATCGAGCCTTCTCTTCAGGGGCTGCTTAGCATTCCGGCGGCGGTTGCCTCTGTGGGCGACTGCCTGGGTGCAGTCGATCGGCATTCGCTTGAGCTGATTTGCTGGTGGTGGCACGCGGACCTCAGGTGGCACTTGCGCGAGTGGTCACCCGTGGATTCGGCAGTTGCCTCTCAAGCTTCGGCGACACAGAGTCCTCGGCCCGCTGGATAGTGTGGCTCTGTGACCTGGGGTCGCCCTCTTGTGTCGCGCTCTTGCTGTGGGTGCGATACGGGAGCGCTCATGTCTCATTTCGACTTCAAGAATTTGCTTGCTTCAGCTGTTGACTCATGCTCGGAAGCCACTCCTAGGGATAAGCTGCTTCCGTGGGAGTCTGGAGTGTTCAAGCAGATCTTCGAAGGGGAGGATCCTTTGTCTTGGAAGGACAGGTTCGATCTGCCGGACCCACCGGGGTGGGATCATGGCGACGAGGAAACTCTGCTTCCAGCCGAGAAAAAACGCAAGGTATTGGATGCTGATTTCTCGCAAGGCATTTGCTTTACTGTTGTTCGCAAGACTGAGGGATTGAGCTGGGAGGATCAACGGCAACAGGATTCTGACAAGGCTATTGCTAGATGGATTTTCATCATTGTGAAGTGGTCTGAGACGTGTCCTGATTTGTTGGTATGCCAAAGCCTGGATGAATGCACCGAGAAAGATCAAAGGATCAACGTGGTCCAGGATTGGCTGCATCCCAAGGCGCCGAGCACTTTGTTGAAGAGAGCCAATTCTATTATGGGATATCACAAGGTTGTTGGCTGGGGCGACGGGACTTTTCCTTATCGTGAGCAAGATGTGTACCGATACATGTCAGATGCTAAGGCCGGTGGGGCGAAACCGTCACAGCTGAAAGCTCTGCGAGAAGCTATAATCTTCGTGCGGCATGTTTTCATGGTTCCCCAGCTAGACCGGGTGATTGAAAGTCGTCGCTGTCTGGGGGCGTCGCAGAGGGGAACTGTGAAGCGTGGCAAGAAGAGGGCTCATCCTTTCTCCATTCTGGAATTGAAGAAGCTTCACCATTTGCTTGCGGACAGGGATGTTCCAGCCTGGGACCGCACCTTCGCAGGAGCCGTTCTCTGTTGCACTTACATGAGATCGCGTTGGGGGGACTTCCAACATTCAGTCAGCTTTGATATCGAGACGAACAGCCAGGGGGACATCATTTTCTTGGTGTACACTGTTGAGGTGTATAAGACAGTGAATTCCAAGTACTTTGATGGCGAGCCTGTTAGGTTCATCGCTCCTGGAGTTGGGATTCTCAGTGACAACTGGCTGCACTTGTGGAAACAGGCTCGTGCGGAGGTCGGACTGTTTACATTCTTGCCGCCGCTGCCCACGCCCAATGCTGCTGGCGAGGCCATGGGGTGCTCGGTCTCTTCTAAGGAGATTACTGCTTGGATCCAGAAAGTCTTGGGACGCGACAATAGCAAGATCACAACAGGACACCTCATGAAGCGCACCTTCTTGACCATGGCTGCAAAGCGTGGGGTTGAGCACCTTGATCGGCTAACCATGGGTGGTCACGCCAACTCGGCGAAGATGGCCGACACTTATGGTGATGACGAGCTGGCACGGCCACTAAGGTTGCTCCTGGCGCTCTTGGAGGAAATCCGCGAAGGTGTCTTCGACCCGGACGCTGGGCGTGCGGGGTACATTTTCGGTGCCGGCCTGCGTGAACGCCGGCTGACGGCGGATCGGATGGAGGTCCGCGACCCTCCAGCCGCAGGCGCCTTTGCAGCTGACGCGGAGTCCGAGGCCACGGATGGTAACTGCCCTGCTCACCAGTCTGGCAATAGCAAGGACAGCTTAACAGAGCAAGATGCGGCCTCGTGGGACCTCCCGCTCCCTGAGCCGCTCACCGACGATGATTGGAGAGACTTGGGCATCTCTCCTCCAAGCCCAGAGCATGCTGCCGCCAACGAGGAGCCGGAGGCGCCCGACATTGGCGATTCGCCGGTACACCCGTGGGACAACTTGATCGAGGAACCTAATGGGAATGCTTCCGGGACGGACTCTTCCAGTTCAAGCTGTTCAGATGAGTCGTCTTCTTCGTCTTCAAGGATCAGTCACGAACCTGAGCGCAAGGTGGGTGTACCGAAGCCCGCCCTAGGCACATCTTTCCTGCAACACAAGCGGACTCGGCTTTTGCACATGATTTCCGATCAAAATCGGAAGGTTTTGCTGTGCGGCCGCATGGTTGGTGACACATACAAGCCACCAATTAAAATTCGATTTGACTCTTCAGTTTGCCGGAACTGCAAGAAGTTCGCGGCAGATCTGTGAAACGTGCCTCTCCGAAAGACTCAAGTACTCTTCGTGTGTGCATGCTTGCACTGCCGGTGCTACTGTCATGGAAGCCTCTCCGCTTGAGTGTTTTGTGACTCAGACGCAGGGCATCATGTCGCTTGTGGATTCGGAAGCTGCCTTCACCCAGCGATGCCAGGAGGTGAATGCGGGAACCATTCACACAGCTTTGCGTGACAATGGTGTCACGACCTTCGCTAGTCTGGCTTATGCATGCGGCACACCTCAGGATCGCCCTACGCAGACCGAGCTGGATGCGTTCAGTACTCGGATTCTCGGAGCTGCACCTCGCTTGGGCGACGTCTCGCTCTTGAAGCGACTCATCTTCGAATCCTGCACCTTTGTGATCGCACAGTTACGCCAGAATGTTCAAGGCGACGCTTCTGAGACCCCTAAGAAACTCCCCCTGGCTGAAAAAGCGGCTCGAGCGGCCGATCAGAAACGCCGCTTGGCGGGGGTCCACATAGAGCGGGACTCTGTTCCATCTTATGCCTTGGTGGATTTGTGCTTCCATATGATCGAGGTCGGGGTGACATGGATCAGCCCAGGCCGCTGCACGAGTCGCGAAAGCGAGATCCAACTCTCGACTCGCGATCAGACCAAGGTGTTTAAGCTGGAGGATAACAGCTTGAAAGTCGGGAACGAGGGCCCTGATGATGTGGCCTGCTTCGACTCTCCCATACGGCTACAGTGGTGTCTTCAAAGGAGAGGCCTTGCACTTGATCAAGCTCGCTTAATGTCTTGGCAACAACATGAGAGGTGGGTGCAT